ACACAGGGCCTGGAGATCGGGCAAGATGATCAACATTACTTGAAGCAGGGAAATGGTTGAAATAACACTATTAATTCGTAATATATTCAAAATCTGTAAATTTGCAAAACTAGTGTTCTAATTGAAAAGATTAAGCATAACACAGTTTGTAATATTTTAGTTTAATTAACTGAATTAGATTATATTATATACATTTTTGAATTCTTAGGCAAGCTTTGAATATATTCAAGTTGCAGAATATGAGAAGGTAGACAAAAATCAGAAAGAATCAATGGCAAAGCCATTAACAAGTAGACAAAGATCTCAATCAGTAGAATATGAAGAAGCTGTTGTGCAAACCCTTAGTATCAGTTCAGAAAATAATGGAATTATGAATAGAGACGAATATTTAAACATGAACGAACTGGAACATTTACCAGAATTGGAAATATTTCAGAAGTGATAATTGAAGGAGTCGAACTAGAATGTCACATCTGTGAAGTGAAATTTGACAACGAAGTATCTCGTGGAGAACACGAAGCAAAATTTCATTAAATTGATTAATCACTTCCAAATATTAATTTTCAATACACATCATTTGGTAACGATGTTACGAAACAACGTAAATCTTGCATTTTTATTTATTCATTTATTATAAAAGTATTTTTGATTTTTTGCATATATCAAATCGAGTTAGTAATTACGTTTTGTAAATCTCTTTATTTTTTAAACTAAAGTTAAAACAAAATTTAAATAAGTTTGTGTTGTACTTATTCATTTTATTCAAGTTAGCAATTTATTAGAAACACATTTATAAAAGTGAGGTTAAAATTTCTATAATAACTATTTTTCTTTATTATATTTTCCATTCATAGTTTTATGTTCTTCAAATTGTCTTTANTTTCTCTCTATATAAATTTTTTACAAAAGCAATTTCTGTTTAATTAGTGAAATTTTTTGAGCTTTATCAGATGATTGGTTATTGTTCTTTCGTTTGTTATTTGTTCTTTGCAATTAAAAACAAAATTGTTACGGAAACTTATGATACAGGAACACTTTGTAAGATGGAAAAAGTAGATTTGATTGTTAACATATTATAAAAGAAAATGCATTTTGGAATTACATACTGCTATTCAGTCTTAATTTTATGGTATATCTACTTAAGATATCACTGAACATATTAATACTTATTTATATTTTACATACGCGTGAAACTCACAGAAAGCTTAAAAATATCTATAGTGTAAGTAATGGTAACTAATAACGTAAGGTAAAATGAGAGAAAGAAATACGACTAAATAAATTAATACAAATAAAAAATAGTAAATAAGCAGTTTAGTGCGAGGTGAGTTTGAGCACTATGAAAAGTTTACAGATTTTGGCATGCTTTTCTATTAATATACAACGAAATATACCAAGGGTGGGCAAGCAAGAGGTCAGCGGCAGCCGAAATGTAGGTTTTGCAAAATGCATGGGAGACGCAGTTCTGTACTTTTTAATTGTGTACCGCATTTCTNTAACTATTTTTCTTTATTATATTTTCCATTCATAGTTTTATGTTCTTCAAATTGTCTTTAGTTATATATACTATTGACCGAATTAACGTAAATAGTTCCTTTCTTTTTAGGTTTCTATTGTATTTAAATTACTAAACACTTCCATTTTGTTTACACAGAAAAAGAGAATAAATACATTTGGAATTGTATAAAATTAACTTAAAATAAAAACAAATAAGTCCGTAATTGCTGAAGAAAATACAACAACGTTGAATTATTGCCCATTTAATTTTGGAAGTTATATTATGTTTTATGTGAGAAAGACTTGTTGTTGCCTGTTTGCATACAATCGTATTTATAACATTTTTCACATACAAATGTTATTCAAACAAGAAACTGAGTTGCAATCATTTGGCTCAAGTTAAACATTCTGACTATTGGGATCAGAGTCAAATCGTTTTTAGTTTTTCTTTGGTAAAGATGAGCTTGGCACTTGAAAACGGTTTGCACATGACTGCCTTCTTGTCTTTTACATTTCGCTTAGAAGTTCCATGATTATCTTCACAAAAGGAGAAGTTTAAAAGTTGAGCTTTATAGATCTAGGAGCGACTGCAGCGTTGTTAGATNTTTTACAAAATTGTGGAAATAAAATTGTAAAAATAATAATAAAAAGCAGAAATGAACACTATAGGCAAGAGCCGCTTGTGACTCAAAAAGGGCCGCATTTGCCGATGGTGGTAATATGTTATCTGTAAATTTTGTATAAAAAATGCATTTTTTAAGATTCTTTTAAAACCTTTGGCTAGGCGCGCCAGGAAACTATTACATTGTTGGACATGCTGAAAGCAGTAGTTTCCTGTTTTTATAAATCAATTTTGGAAAAGTTATAGTTATTTTTGTTGTTTTGTGATCTTATGAGAGTAATACATTGTATTTTTGAAGTCCTCATTTAAAAAATGCTACTCGAAATATGTCATTTTTATTTATTTAAAAACGAAAAGAAAAAAATATTAAGTTCCAGAAATTTTAATTAAAAAAACACCGAATTTCAAAGCTTTTTCTACAACTGTAATTAAGTCTGTGGCTGATTCGCTTTCACGTATGTTTCTTTCTAACTATCTAAACCAATAAATATTTTGTCACCACCCCGGCATTAAATATTTCGGGAAATACTGTCCCCTATTGTTGTAAAGCAATTAGCGGTAAGTGGATCGTGAAATCTAAGCTGTGACTCGCTTTCCTTTACGTGGGTTGACTTTGTTTAAGCCAATAAGTGTATTTTCACAAACCCTAGGCCAAAAATTTTTCAGTAAACACATCACCTAACATTCTACAGGAATTACAGGTAAAAAGGCATGTTAAGTTCAGTGTAAGATGTGTCAGACATGTGCCAGGTGTGTGGATGTCAGCAAGTGGTGATGGACAGTCCACAGCTTGGTCACATGTGTCAGGTGAATGAGGTAACAATATCCCCAAGAATGTGGGGGAGATTGTCCCGCCTAGAGAGGAAAAATTTGTGCCCTGCCCTTTGTGTTTGTAGAGTCATGGTGTGTGTGTGGAGACAGTACTGAGAGGAGTGCTGACCGCAGTACTGACCGGGGAGCTAACCAGAGTGGGTAGCTGTATGGTTGGTCAGGAACCAGTATTGAGTAATACAAATGATTGTCGGATACTGGAGTATTGCTCGATTGTGGAGTGCCAGAGAGTCACTCACTTATTAGAGACATTAAAGTGTAATTGTGTTGTTATTGTTAGACAGGAAGTGTACATTCTTTTCAAATTTGTATACGACATTTTCTGGTCCGTCGATATACAAGGCAGATTATTTGCTGATAGCATCAATAGTGTGAGGATCGCATTTGCGGGAAAACTTTATTATAAAATGTTTATAAATTATTATAACATTTTATTGTTCGGGAAAAAAATAATCTTTTATTTCGAAAAAATTATTCNAATAAAAGTAGCTTCTGATAGAAACCAAATTAAACCAATTTTTATTTTTTATTAAACATTTCGCAGACCACCTGCCAATCTCCACGCACCCCCAATTTAATTTTAGTTTCTCCCGGACACCATCAGCAGTTCCAAAAACCACAGGTGCTCATAGCAACCACTTTGGGAAAAATATTTTCAAATACACAAAGCTATGCACTGTATTCATTTTTTAAATAGAGTTCTCCAACTCATATTAAATTATTCACTCGTAACCTACACTAACAAAGACAAGATTAAATGTTGCAAAACTAAAACAATTTAATATTTTATATAAGAATTAAAATCGCTTTGTAATCTTTTAAATATTTAAAGTAACAACAATAATTTTGGTACTAGACAGTAACTAAGTAACTAACATCTACAAATAATGAAAATTTAAAACACTTTTACTCACACACTAAACTTCTTCTAGGAATTTTAGCAAGGACGAAACTTGATAAAAATTTTTGAGCAAGTTGAAAGTTATACTAAGAATAATAACCATATCTCTAGCGCTTAACAATAGGCACAAACGTTATTTATTTGCTGTAAATAAAAAATATGAACTATTATAAAGCCAATTATATCTACTCTAACACACTTTCTTTATAAAAATAAAATTCATGTAAATGAAATAATACAAAGTTTACGTGCAAATGTGTTATGAAGTACTTGATGGAAGGCAATCATCCTAAAGGTAAAGTCTTCTCCTCTTTTGGATCAATCAAAAACAGTTAACTGAGGAATCTGTTTCAGAGCTAATTATATTTGTAATACATGTACTTCTTTACTTTCTCGTTTACCAAAATAAGTTTCGTAAATTTCCTCGCAGTCTTTTGCACACATGATTAACTTAATATATATGACCATTCTCATCCATGCATATCTTGCTTTTCGCTGTTGTCTTATCATGCAAAGAACATCTAACTTACTTTCGATTATTTTCCTTATTTATTTAATTACTTTATCTCTCGCTCCTCTTAATTTCCACACATTCAGTCGAAATTCACATTTCGGCTTTCTTTTTGTCACTTGGTATTCCGTTTCGGTTGCTTCCTGGCTTGAAGATCATATGCCCCACACTCTCAGATTCTGCTTTCCTTTTCGCTTTCCTTCTTTTAAGGTTTTTACTTGTTGGAATGGTAGCTCCACGCTCAACTCTTATTATCGTTGACCTGTATTTCCGCCTACACTGCCTTTTGTCGCACTTCTATTCAGCATTGGATATTCCCTATCAATTGCAATTGCGGCTGACATAACACACAGGGCCTGGAGATCGGGCAAGATGATCAACATTACTTGAAGCAGGGAAATGGTTGAAATAACACTATTAATTCGTAATATATTCAAAATCTGTAAATTTGCAAAACTAGTGTTCTAATTGAAAAGATTAAGCATAACACAGTTTGTAATATTTTAGTTTAATTAACTGAATTANCCAGAATTTTTGTCTTTTTAAGCTAACAAATAAGCACAATACGTCAATGTGACAAAACAATTCTGAAATTTTACATTGTTGTAGTGCATTCTTGCTTTTTCATCTTTTCAAAATTTCTAAAGTGAATTTAACATTTAAATTACTTTTTTAAATGCAATCAAAAAAGGTAAGTAAAACGATCAATCTCTTTTGTTACATGTTATTTTTAATAGGCGACACTTGTCATTGAAAAATTGTAAAGATGAAAATTTTGAAATTTTAATTTTTATCGAAATAATACATTTCTTTTACTAGTATATTTCGATATAAAGAGGTAATAAAAGTATTCTAAAAGTATTAATAGCAAACTTAATAATTTATAATAATTTCCACAACGAATATTTTTTAAAGGATGAGAAAAAGAAACATGAATGCACGGAATGTAAACAAATATTTGCAATGAAATCGCACTTAGATGTGCACCTGAGAAGCCATACTGGTGAGAAACCGTTTCCATGCGATATTTGCGGTAAAAAATTCTCCCAGTCTGGAAATTTAACAATGCACAAAAGAATACATTCGGAAGAACGACCTTTCAAATGCAACTGTGGATACGCTACAAAAATTAAATTTTTGTAGAGTATCCACAGCGTATCTGTTATCACATGTCAAACGATTGTGAGGCCAGCCGATTAGGGGTGAGGTGTTTTCGACAGCCGAGCGGTTAATACTGTCGTGTGGGCGCGGAATGACTCACCGAGACAGGTTTACCATATAAAACCGTTTAATAATATACATAAATTGTTCTTACAACAATTCAAGAAGTCAGGCGAACGCCTATCCACCGATGGGTTACTAAAACAGTTCCCAAACAACACGGAAAAGTTCGACAGTTCGGTCGGTCCTTGGGTGTTTCGCACGTCGGACGCAGAGAACGATGTCCCCGGAGCACGCACCAGCACTTGTCGCGATGTCCTCGGTTAACGAGTTGAACCTCGGCGATCCTGGACAGAACGGGTTGTCGAAACCAGCTCCTAGGGCGTCGAAAGAGCCTTCGTTGTGTCTCTGTCGTGAGCACCAAATCCCAGCAGGGTAGCGCTACGCACCAAAACCCAAGACTCCGTAAAGTTCCCGAAAACGCGGTTTTATCAATTTTTCCACCGCGGTCGCCTCTCCATTGGTCTCTCCTCGTCACATGGTGACAATTCGAAACTCCAGGAAGGGCGCGGGAGAGTTCAACGTCGCGTCGGAACACGACTCCTCTCCAAC